AATTATTAGTCTTCACCACAAACTGGTTAACATACCTTGAAATATAACACATCGTATCTAGTATCGCTTGTTATTTCTTCTGCCTTTGTCTCACACTTGTAGGGTCGGCAAACATGTCCTTTCCACTCTCCCCTATCAGGCTTCATCTCAATATTCACAGTCCATCCAAAATATCTCGATCTTCCTCAAACCTTACACTCTCCAATCACATTCAAATTCAAAAATCTTCTAGCCACACGACCTGAATCTTTTTTTTTTAATTCAAAAACTGGCTAGCACTTGACTGCCATCCCACCTGATGGTAAGTGGCGATGCAGCCGTTGATGGTAAGCGGGCTAGCTCAGTAGAAACATATTTACTCATCTCTAGTAATACCAATAATTAAACCACTATTTTTTATGCGACAAGGAAACAAGCAGGCTGGCAGTTCGTCTGGTGTTAAGGAATAACCGCCGCCCATAGACACTTCCAACACCCGCAGGGTTGTAGATGCGTTGCCATATTTTAATAAAGTGGGCCCCGGCTACCTCACTCGCCACACGCAAAAGTATACAATTTTTACTTTACGCCTGTATTACTATTTTCGCAGACGGACCTGCCCATTCGTGGTACAGCGAAGACTTGTGTGCTCTTACCAATACTATTATTCTCCGTAGCTGAAAACGGAAATGTGTTGTTTAATATCAATACTACCTTCTATATTGCCTCTTTTTAATCTTACTACTACTTAAAAAACTGTTCATTAGTTGTTACCAACAGATTGGCAACCAATCTTCAATCCCAAAGCTGTATTAAGAGCGGTTATCATTTCCGCTCGCTCTCTTTGTCCTTTTAACATGCTGAATTCATGTGCCATAATATGTGGGCAAGTTCAGAGAAAGGTAGGTACTCTGTTTTGTTTTTCAATTTCTAGTCTGGATTTGTATAGGATTTGCATGACTCGAGCATGTAGGTATATGTATCAAAAGCAACTCCTTGATAACCTCTAGACAAGACATCGATGGGGAAATTAAACTTATATCATATCTAACTCTATATTAGGGACCATATCCTTATTGTTCAAGTTATATATAAACGCATGACTTAGTAGGTACGTACATTTAAGGAGTGCGTTATGTGCTAAAAGAATTGCGTAAGTAACCATCCCAAGTAGCTTTAAATACAAGATAAAAGAATTCTTTCAGTTTTGCGTCTGAAATTTTATCGATATTGCAGCATTATGACATTTTTTTAATTAATTTCTCACACACGTGTACACAACGCAATCGGTTACGTAAAGCGATAAAAAGCCTCTAACGTCATTCACTCATATGTAGGTAAGTAATGCGCAAGTAATAAATTCGGCTTATCTATAATTTGCATATAAAATTCGTAATACCCACTGACGCTGATAACAAAGCTCGGTATAAATTAAGCCAATATTTTCGCGGATTGAAAAAAATATCATAAAAAAAATCCACCGCCATTACTCAACGTCGAACGCGGCAGATAAACAAGATGGCGTCTTGTAAATACATTGAATCGTGATACACATGGCGGGACGTCATCCGCGGATGTGGAAGTATGGGTGTCGATTAAACGCGCGGCCGGCGCAGTAAACCACGCTGAAATGCCCGCTATCGAGCGTCTTAATGGAAAACAGGTGTGAATTTATGAATTGTATGAGCACTCCGATATAGCGCCGCGGATCGACTGCGTTGGCCACAATAATTTCCCTTTAATAGGGGCCTCTAATAAAGTTATCTAGTCAGCGGAGTGCGACTGTGGGAAAGGCAAATACGGCCGCCGAGTCGCTAATACGAAATAAATTGAGACACAATAAAACCCGGCCGCGGAAACAGAGACGTCCATCTTTTGTTTGACAGTTTCGAGTGACGTCACGACGTGGAGGCGCTAACATACGGATGTGGTGAATCTCGGCAGGTTTCCCTTGTACTTTACAGTCTTTTTTTCATTAACTTCTTTGTTCTTTTCTGAGCTAGGTTAAGGTTTTGATGATGGGCTCCAAGAAATCTTTGTGTTGATTAAGAAAGAGATAGGAGGAAATATCATATTTTACCCAGGTGATTTAGTTACTCAATACAAATGATTTGATTTTGATTTTGATTTTTGATTTAAGCCTAAGCAAAGCTTGTATTATGGGTACTAGTCCTCCTAAGCAGCCCTATTATTAAGACTTCGCTGTCTGTCTGGTCGTCTGTCTCCAGGTCGTATCTCGTGAACTGTGATAGTTAGACCGTTGAAATTTTCACAGATGATGTATTTCTGTTGTCGCTATAACAACAATACTAAAAAAACCGAATAAAATAATATTTTATTACAGTTTATTACCGTGATGGTAGATAATGGTACGGAACACTTCGTGCGCTAGTCCGACTTGCGCTTGGCTGGTTTTTAAATTATTTCTAAGATACGCTGGTTTCAATATTATTGGTATTATTGGGTAACAATATTTTCTTTGACCGCCCAGCTTGTGGTAAATCAGCATAAAAAATTGCAATTAGCTATTCATCGGTGCAGACGCCAGAAATTGAATTACGTTGCACGAGTAGGTATCCTGAATTATAACTGACCGGGCACTATGTTACCCGGGCATTGAGAATCTCCGATTCAGATTATCTTACAATACTATTAATCATTCGTTCTACAACTGTTTTGAACAACGTACAAAGTGTAATAAATAACATCAAGTTTTTTCTTTGAAAAAAAACCGATAAACTTAAATTAATACATAATAGATAATTTGCTAAAGTTTTGTACTTGTTTTTTGCAGTTCGAATGTCGTCAATTTTAAATTACACACGCAATTTGAGTATATAACTTGTATATAAATATTAATCAACGGGAGATTGTATAACCCAAGCGGGGCCAACGGCGATATATTTAAATTAGCGGACCTCACACCCACGCCATTAGCGGCGCACTCGAGTCACGGAATGTCGCTTAAACACAAACTCATTACGCAACAATCGGCTCCGATGCGTCCAAGGTGATAATTGTGCGCGCACTTTGAAAAAAAAAAACAAAGCACTATCTGAAATCATTTGTCACAATGGAGGCGTTATCAAAATGCCGCATCTATTTCAATGGATTACCGAATCCACGGGCGCCCGCCCACGCGTGTCTCGCACTCTGCTTAGATGCAATGACGCGATGGTTCCGTTGAATTTCCTAAATCGTATTAATTTTTTAATTTTTTAAACAATATCTCATTATTATAAATAAAATTATAATAATGTAATTGTGTTTACTGTTGCACGAATGGGCAGGTCCGTCCGGGTAAGTACCACGACCTCACAGAAGACCGGCGTAAAGTAGAAGCGGTAGGTACACTTCTGCGTTTCGTCTGGCGAGTGAGGTAGCCGGGACCCACTTTATTTAAAGATGGAACCGCATTTGCAACCCTACGGGTGTTGCAACTGTTCATGGGCGGCGGTTTTCACTTAAAATCAGGTGAAACGAAAGCTCTTTGGCACTTTCTCGAATAAAAAAAAATCTAAATTCTAATATTAAAATAAGTATTCGACGAAAGGTAAAAAGAAAGAGAGATGGGAGGGTGAATAATTTGTTGAAGCTACTTGTATATTTAAGTAAGATATTCATTGATAACCTCAAATTATTATGCATGTTGATAATTTCTTTGAGAATGGTTAAAAAGGAAGTATTATTTAGATAATGCGTTATAGATTAAGTGAAGACATTAACAATAATTGTGTTGTTCTCAGTTTTTTTATTTTTGTAGAAAGTTTTTAGTATTTGTTATTTAACAATCCCAAAAAAATCCCTACAGGAAATGTTTTAATTTATGCGAACAA